GATTTAAATTAATGAAAGTTTAATTATTAAAATAATTTGGCCAAGGTGCGTAACTGTATCCTTGAAATTGGCCAAGGTGTGTAACCGCATCCTTGAATTTGGCCAAGGAGCGTAACCGCATCCTTGAGTTTCTTAAGAATCTAAAAAAAATGTGGAACCATATTCTTAATTGAGATGAAATTTAATTATTATTGTTACATGAACTAACTAAAATTAAAAAAATATTTTTCTAATACATAATGAGTTATTTTTATAATAATTGTCAATATACCACATTAAAATTATTTCCTTAAGTATTAGAATAAATAGTTTCAACATTCTAAATAGCTTCATTGTTTAGTTATATGTAAGATTTTAAACAATTATATTTCAACATTATAATATCAAAATTAAACACACATAAATTTCGAGCAATTTCATAATATTGGAATCAAGTCTTATATAATCATGAAATAAAACTATACTATGAACATTTATTACGTAAGAAACATCCTTCTTCTTAAGGAGTTGGACATATACAATAAACACTAGTACCCTATTTAGATTATTATTTTTTATGAACAAATTCATTATTAAAACAAAAACCAAATTAAATCAATATAGTATACCATTGTGCCCAGCAAAATAACATTAGTCAAACTACAATTAATACGAGTTGACGTCAATTATACCACCTACTAATAACCATTATTATACTAGAAAATGATCCATAATAATCCACATAAACATACTAATAAACATATGCACGGGAGAACAATTAACACAAAAATTTGAAATGCATCTTATCAAAACCTTAACTATTTTATAAAAGTAGAATATAGCATCCACACGCCCAATAAAAATAAGTAAATATCATACCCTTTTTTAGCATACAATGAATAATTATCATATTATACAAATTTTATTCTAAACTTAAGGATATAACATGTTCACATATATTTAAATATTATAACATTAAAGAATATTAACAGATTAAACACATACGAAATCTGAACAACTTTAATATATTGAAATCAATTCTTGCATAATCATGGCATAACGTCATACAAGAATAGAATATAAGTAAGTGTTACCTCTTATAAAAATTAGTTCATGAGAAGAAAGGACTAACAATCAGGAGTCACGAACTTGAAACCACGAAAAATAAACCTCAAATTCAACCTTTGTTTTTGAGTCGAAAGAAAAAAATTATGTAATATGAAGAGGAATACATATGCTGTATGTGTGGGAGAGTAAGTATGTTGCTAAATTTTCTTCTTCTGTTTTTCTGCTTTTTCTCTCTTTTTTGTTTTCTGTACGTTTTTTGGTATGTAGGAAAGATTGTGTAGTGTCTGTATAGATATGTGTGGGTATTGTAGTATGTATTGTGTATTTGGTTGCTGATTTTGTTTTTTCTTTTTTTTTTTTTTTTTTTCGTTCTCCTGTGTGTGTGTTTTTCTTTGCTAGCATTTGGCCATAGATTTCCAAATATTTTTGGCAAATATTATTTGGATAAAAATTTGGGTGAAATTTCACCATGTGTTTGGCTATAGTATTTGGAAAATATATTTCACTTTTAAAAAAAATATGATTTATACCCATAAGTTTTAAAAACCATCAAAACAAGTCATAAGTTTGTATTACAAGTCAATTGGATCTTCGTTACAACAACTAACAAGTACTGTCCATGACACTAGAGCAATGTGGTAGTTTGGAGTGTGTGCAACAAGCAATCATTCCATACATCGTGAAAGTAGACAAAAAACACAATGACTTTGTACCCTAAGCCGATTGTCATCATTTTCATCAACAACCATATCATCACTTTCATATCCACGAAATATTTCATCACTACTTTGGTGTTCACGTAAAAAAATTATGTAATACAACACAAACAAAACTACTATAGAGGGTGTTTTTGTAAAAGATAAAAGTTTGGCGTAAAATTTTAATTTTCAAAAGATCCCAAATAATGTGATTTGGCCCAAATACTAGAAAAAACTAGTATTTTGAAATTTGGAATATTTGTCAAAAATATTTGCCAAATAATGACAAATTGTATGGACAAACACTATTTACTAAACTTTTCCCCAAATATTATTTGGGAAATCTATGGCCAAACGGGGCCCCTTTTGTGTTTTTTTTTTTTTTTGGTTTTTCTACGTGTCATGTGTTGTGCAGATATGTGTGTATATGTAGTATAATAGTCTAGTGGGTATAGAAGGGGATAGTGGGTTGTAAGGCTGGCAACGGGACCGGAATCGGAACGAAACTGGCCACCACGGGACGAAACCGAACCGGAACCGGGATGGACCGGAACCGGTAATTCCGGAAAAAAATCAGTGTACCCATCCCGGACCGATAACGGACCGGTACCGGACCGGATCGGAAACCGGGTCCCAACTGTTATAAATTAAAAAAAATATTTATTAAAATTAAAAAATTAGGAACATTACAACAAATAATATTAAACCTCTTATAATTTTATTAGAAGCAAAAAAATTTATACTTTTAAAGTTTTAAATACAAACTTTAAAAGTTTAAATTTCACACTTTAAAAGTTTGAAAATTTAAAACTTTAAAACTATAAAAGTTAAAATTTCACACTTTAAAAGTTAAATTTGAACTTTTGAAGACAATAATAAAAAAAATTAAGGCGAATAGCCTATACTTTTATTAATATTAATTAAATAGTACAAGTTGAGTTACAAAATATTAGTAGAGTATTAAAAAATCTAATCTACACAGCCACCTTCTAGGAAGGGTTCTGTTTGAATTAGACCTTGAATTATTATACTCTTACTAATAGACAATTAAATTTAATAGTTCATGCTGCCAATGAAATTTGCAAAACATTTATAATTGTTTGAGCTATATAACTACCGGTTTTATGCATTTCACAACATTTATAACCTAAAATTCTTTTTTGCAAAGTCCAATTTTCATCAATCCAATGCGCAGTAATAGTGAAATAATCATTACCATTTACACTACGGCTCATATCAGAAGTAATAGCTATTTTACAATTGTTATAATAAAATAAACAACGAAGATATTGAAAATGTTGAGCTTGATAATCAAAGATAGCCTTTTTAATTGTATTTCTAGTAAAACCTTTAAAATGTGGATTATACACAATTTGAATATAATGAATAAAACCGGGATTTTCAGCAAAACTAAATGGCAAACCCATAACAACAATCATTTTAGCTAATTCTTCAAGATCTTTTTCTCTACTA